ATTCATTCAGGCAGCTTGGCTTACATTTGATGTCTACTGATATTATAGAAAGCAGAGATAGTAACAGATCCTTGGTTATAATTTGTAATTCCAAACAGTGTTGTAAATTCTAAGTTAACACAAAAGAGAGCAGCCATGTTCTGTTTATAGGCCTGATAAGGGTTTTATGGGAGTGTGAATGCTGCTAAATAAAGCTTATCATAGACTTTCCTTCAGTAGGTGTTTTTTTTTTCCAATCGTGATAGTAAAGGTTGTTCTATAATCCTGAGCGGTGACAGGAAGCTGCCTCCAACATACGGTTCCAGCCCAGCTGTGGGTGTCACGTCACAGAAGAATCAAAATGTTTTGTTTGCTTATTGTGTGCCAGCACAAAAAGTTCAAGTGCACACCGCCCAGACAAACCTGCATTCTATCTTATTGTGTTGACAGTACACCGAAGAACACCTGTGAATTATCTTTTTATATGTAAATATATATAAAACATAGATAACTTTGTGTAAGTGGGAATCAAGCAAAGTAGATGAGATTTAAACCCCCGTTAAATATCCAAAGAGCAGATCTGAATTTCCTGCAGATTAGATCTCCGCCTCTGTTGCACATATTTAAAGGAGCTTAAGGCGTTCCTAGCAGAGTTGTGATGACGCATCTCTGACTGCTGCCCCGTCAACATTAGGGGAGAGACTGTGTTTAGCCAGCAACAGCAGAGCTTGCCGCGTTTCCCTTTAAGCATCGGGGTGCACACATGGCGCAGGACGGGGCGGCGGTTTCTGTAAATAAGTGGCATTGGAGGTAAAGTTTATCTATTTGAGGTTAACTTATCTCAACAGTAGCCATATCAACAGCCGCAACCCCTAAGCTTATTAGCGGCGATTAAGAAGCTTAGCTGGACTCATGTCTCGAGTGAAGAGATGAAACGAAAAAACTTGGTTGCAAAAAATGGTTTGTGGCCAATGGATCAGTTACAAAATATAAACTTTGGGTTTTCTCTACGAAGGAAATGAAAGTTAGCCGTGTGCATTATTTGAATAACAGGTGTAGAGGCAAATGAATGAGTGAAACAGAGCAGGAAGAAAATATTTTCCTGTGACTTTACAGCCTAAAAGACATTCTGTGATCTACAGGTGAGATCTTGGAGCTTTAGAGTAGATTTATGTGCCTCCCATAAAATGAGCACACAGCAACTGTCAGCACAGTTAAAATACAAATCCCACCTCCACCGCCAGGCCTATTTGATATTCCAAAATAACTTGCAGCCTCTGCTCTCAAGCAACAAACAATAGCCGAAAGCATGCAGTTCACCAAGTGTTCGTGCCTACCGAGGCTCACACGTCTGTCAGACACCAACACTGGCCAGGGTCAAGCACAAAGGCAAATGTTAAGGGTGGAGTTAAAGCTTAAACCCTCAAATCCACCACGGCGCTATCACACCATTTAAGTAAGAGGAGAGGCAGCTGTTGCCCAGGCTGTTTTGGATCCTGCATGCTAAATTTTAACACCTCTGCACGTTTTACAGCGGCCTACCTTCTCAGTTAGTGTTTGCCTGCTCCAGCAGCCCGCAGAGCACGAAAACACAATCGAGACCTCGCGAGACGGAAGCGTAACAAACGGCTCATCTGTCACATGCAAAAGACGCACAGCAGACCACCTGAGCTGCATATGAAATGCTCCACGTGCAGTGGACCTCTGCGACAGGTTTTTAATGATAAAAGGGATGAGAGGAAGAGGAGGGGATAGTGCCACAAGGAGTGGTTCAGTTGGAACGGACTGCTAACAGGATGACCCGGGTTACCGTGTCAGGCCCTCGACATGAGGAAACACAAGGGCAGCAAGGAATGACACACACCAGATTAGCTGCTTCACGTTAGGAAGTGGAGCAGAGTTAGCTGGAAAGTGGGGAAAATCTCACAAAGTCTTTCAAAAATATTCTCAGGATTTGGACTTTTCTTGACATTTGTTCACCCTAGAAACACACACTGAGTGTATTGCATGGGAATTTCTAGTGACATATGAGCACAAAGCAGTGCACAACAGCAAAGTGGAAGTGATGCATGGATTTCAGGTTCTGAGCAATAAAATCAGAAAATTTTGATGTGCATTTGCATTCACTCCCCTTTACGCTGATGTCCCTGCCCTGACTCTGGAGGAGCAGGAGTGATCCATAGCTCAGGTGGGAAAATTTGATGACAGAGAAAGTCACACACTCCACAAATGCCCTTTTTGGTACAGCTTTCCACAAACCATGTAAGGGGTGTTGTAAACATGAGGAATAAGGTTCTCTGGGCAGATGAGACCACAGATAAACCTTTTCACCTGTATGTAAAAATCAAGAGGGACTGGAAAGCTGGCCAAAGTCAATGGGAAGGTAGGTCAGCATTAAATAAGGTGTCAGTCATGGAAGAAAAGCTGTTTGATGCTGCTAAAATGTTTAAACCCAGCTGGAGGTTCACTTTGCTGCAGGAGGACGACATTAAAGACACAGTCAGAGCAACAAAAGATTCAGAATAAATCATTTTGGTGTGTCACAGCAGCCTCTTCAAAGCCCAGACCAAAATCCAACTGAGATGCTGGGAAAGACCTCAAAATTGATTTTCATAGATTACCTCCATCCAATCTGACTGAGCTTGACAAAAAAGCAAACAAATTCCAGTCTCTAGATACAAAATATCAGTGGAGGTCCTGTGACATATTTTGCTTATTTTTTATTTCATTTTGCTCACTTTGTTGTTGTGCACTACTTCCTGTTGATCCTTTCAATCCAAGGCAAACACAAGGAAGTTTGTTACTCCAGCATGAGGAGGGGAAGTCTATCTATGGGCGTCTTACAGCTTATTTAGTATGAATACAATGAGAAATATGACTTTAATCGTTGAAGTGAAATCTTGAACTATAGGCGCGCCTACCTGTAGCTCACACCACGCCACCTCCACCGTTGTTTCCGTGTCCAAACCTTTATACACCGTCTTGAAGGAACCCCTTCCGATCTCTATGTTGAATTTGAGATATCTTCCATCGGGTGAGGTGGCCACCGCTTTGGTCTCCACGTCCTCCTTCTCCTCCTGCTCCCACTGGGTGTCAAAGGTGATGCGGGACAGGACCTTATTCGGTCTGCTCTGAAGCTCGTTGTCAGAGTCCGAGCTGGCATCGTGAGCTTTGGACCTGCGTTCCGAGGGCCAGTTTCCTCCCTCCGCGTCGGGCTCCTGGCTGCCCGAAGGCGCGTCGGCGCCGGCGTCCTGGCTGGAGACGGGAGACAGCTGCTGCGGGGACTCGTCCGCTTTTTCCTCCTCTACTCTGGACTCTGCGAGCGACAGGATGTTCTCGGCCGACCAGGACAGCGCTTTGGAGAGGGCGCTGCTGTATAGTGGAGAGTCAATGTCCATGGTGATTTTCTGCAGGCAATAAGAGTTCCTCCGCGCGTTCAAGCCGTGCGTCCTGAGCACGTTGCGGGACAAGCAGTCGTCCGTCATGTCTACGGAGAGGCCTGGAAAGCCGCGTCCTGGGATCTCAACCTGTGCGTGAGACATGGTGGCCGCTGCAACGCCTTCCAGATTTAGTCTAAATGTGGAAATGACATTTGGCACATTTGGACAAAGCTGAATTAGTACATTCAGGTTTCAGGTCACATTTCAGTGGCAAAACGCAAGTTCTGGCTTAATATTAAACATGGGTGACTAATTGACAAATAAGTTCATTGGACAAAAAGAGAGAGAAGTATGCACAAAATATGTTTGATACTTACTCGTGTGAATGAGGACGTCTCCCAATGAAAGCGACGCGCAAATTTAACGCATAGTTAAAGTCTCCATTAGTTTTCCTTTTCGTTCTTTTTTTCAACCTCTTGTCTTTCCAGAGACCTGAAGATATAACCTCCTGTGAGAGGACGGAGCAGCCAATATCAACAGAGCTCCAGTGGGCTGTGCGCCCTGATCGCTCCAGCTCCGCCCACCGCTGCTTCTGACGCGCAGAGAAATCCATCCAGAGGGAACTGATACATTGTGGCCTTAAGGAAATGTGCTACATAAATAAATTCAGGGGGAAAAATAACGCAGATAAAAGAAAATATAACAACCCCCCCCCCACCCCCACACACACACACACACATATATATATAACATAGAAATGCGTAAGAAATAGAAATGCAACAAAAACATAAGCAATATGTTATGATCTCAAATTAGATAGATAAATTTAAAAAAAGTTAAACTTAATAGCTAATTTAAAAACTGTATTTTAAGATGTCTAAATCTGACATGAAATCAAATAGAAAGGCGATTTTGAGAGCATGGTGCCACACGCGTCTTATAGTTTTCATGTTTTGGGGTTAAATTCACATCCACGTTTCCACCGATTTCGAAGAGCTGAATTTATCCACAGCCGATGAGTCATTTTACTTCCACTTTAAATCTGACCTCATTTTATTAGCCTGAATGTGGGAGATAAGCAGCACTCGGAGAAAGTGCAGGTCAGCGTGGCTGACCTGCAGGGGGAGCCGCACGGCGGCGCAGCAGCGGCCCCTGGACCATGAAACCTCGACCACCAAAGGCCACGCTGGGCTCCACCTGAGCCACAAGAGCGCTTAAAGGGTTTTAATCAGAAAATATATGGAAATAAACACATATACACGTCTCCTTGGAGCTGTATCATCCTCACAGCACATCATGTGAGTTGACCTTTCAGGGTGCTATCCTTATTCACAGCTGCAGCCAGAAAGAGCTTCATTACAAAGGTTTCACTCTGCTGAGCTCTGCCTGTGGCATTTACAGAACTGTGCGGTGGCTTGAATATTGTGCAGTTCTGCTCCTATCTTCTTTCTAATAGGCACTTTCTTGCAATGGTTTCAGTTTGGATGCAAAGAAAAGCGTTGGATCCAAACTTTGCACTTGGTCTTTGCAAGATTCTTACAGAGACACTTTGTAGCGTCTTTGCAAGAACTGCATCTCTGAAGCATTTAAAATGACTCAGGATTTGAAACACACACACACAAAAAAAGAGAATGAAGCAAATTTAACAAATTCCTAATTTATTTTTTCTGTAGGATATGAAAAAGAACAGAGGGAAAGATAACAGAAGCATCACAGAAGCTACAGTACAACAACAGGATGGCAGAAATCTGTACACAAAGTCCAATATTATCACACTCAGTCAGGTTGAATGAAGATTGCCTCGGGCCTCTGCGGTGTTCCTCCTCTGGAAGCATTTATTTAGAAATTTAAAAAGTCCCTCAGGTCTTGTGTTCTGGGATTTCTTTGGGAATTCTGGCTGGGCACCAAGGAACGACAGCCGAGCCGAGGTCCAGCGCTAATCATACAAAGTAAACTCCTTGATAGAGAGAATGGAGCTAGAACTAGTTGCATTTGAAATCTAAATGAAGAAGTTGAGTGACGGCTAACGGGGAAATGTTCCCCTAAAATATTCAGACATGATAGTGTTTAGTCCCCTGATACTCATTGCATCTTTAAATGGCAACATATGTCACCAGTGATAATTTTATAAACACAGTGTCACCTCAGATGCTCTTTTTTTTTTTTGTTTGTTTCCTCCCGCAAACAATAATGGTTCTCTTCCAGAAAGAGAAGGTTGTGAACCAAAAAGGCAACTACAAAAACATTTAAAGGGCCAGCATCCACCGGCCTCTGCATCGAGGTGCGACCCATCCTAAAGATCCGCCTCGTTTCCCGGTCAGAGTGTACGAGTATGATCCCAGCACCGCTTCAGAAAAATTTGACACCTTTTCCGTCATCCATAGAGATGATCTCTGCTTTTCCTTCAGTTTGTAAAGCCTGCAGGGAGCGCTGCAGCATCCAGTCCTCTAAACCGTGGAACTCTGCAGAAAAAAAGAACAATCATCGGATGCCTTATTTTATTTATTTATTTATTCATCTTGTCTGTCCATGTTTGTCTAATTTTAAACTCAGCGATTCAATTCAATAGATGAAACTAATATTCGCTCATAATAAATGCAGTAGATTTGGAGAGAGGCTCAATATTGATGAAGAAACATCACTGACCCCCTTATGACGATTGTGATATAAAGTTTTGGTTCATCAGCAGCAGCTTTCCATGCATTACCATGTCCTCTCTCTAATTCAAACACATGCTCTTAACCATTAATTACCAGTGTATTTCTCTTAGAAGCTCGGCCATTGGTGAATTACAGAAATACTTATAAAAATTACTGAAATTGTATTTAGTGTAATTGTACATAATTCTCCAAGATATTGTTCTGATCCCGTTTAGAGTCGTGAAATACGAGAAATTAGGACCATATCATACCTTCACCGTCTGTGTCATCACCATTGGAGAGTTCATAAAGTGTAAACACAGAGTTGTTCATGCCATTTTTGGACACCTGAAAAAACAGAGGAAATAAAATGCAATTTATCCTTAAATTTGCTGATACAATTACACAAAATCTCAAAAACAGAAAATCGTGCACAAAGGGCACTGAGACATCAAGCATTTCATCATAGCTCAGCCAACTTAAAAGAGAGCAAATATTAACACTAATATTACTGGTTGCAAAACATGCCACCAGTACATTTTGGCAAATAGTACAAAATGTGCACAAATACATCTGTTGTTTATGTCATCTAAAAACTCACATGGCGTGACGTAGCACCTTTGTTGTTAGAAATGTATACAATTACATAACCCGGGGTGCCAAAATAATGATGTTGATTTATTAACACTGGGTTTGTTTATAGGCACACTGCCCTCAGATGCTACTGGGTATAAAGGGAAAGCTCGACATAAACAGGGCAGCTCTTTTACTTGCCTTGTTCAAGCACCTTTGAAAAAATAGAGCTGATGGCATTGATGATGCATTAAAAAAATTATATCACTAAAAAACAAGATATTTGTGATGTGAACAAAAAAAATCTCACAATCATAAACAGTTTCAAAACCTTGTTCACTTTAAATATAGCATTCCATTGAATCCATTTGATTCAATGGAAAACACATGATAAAGATGTAATAACCTGGTTCTAAAAGCCCCAGTTCAATCTGAAGAAGAAACACAGCCAGCAGAATGATACTGCCACCACCGTGCATCACTGTGGGAAATGGTGATCAAGGTTAATGTTATGGTTTGATCAGACCATATTCTCCATCATATTTTAGGAGATTGTAGCCAGACCTGCATTATGTTTTACAATCCTAATCCTACATCCACACAAATGGGAAATAAAATATTTTAAAAAGTTAATTAATTAATACATTCTTGTTTTAATATATATTAAATGTGTGATGCCTAGTTATCTTTATAGCTGCCTAACTCAGAGTTTAAGGTCAGCTACTGCATAAATGGGTGTGTTAGTCCTTTACAGATAAGCAGTTCCCTCTACAGAGATTAAAGATATCTCTAATATTTCAAGTTTTGCCACAGAAAGGCAAACAATGTGGATTTTGACTCGAAAGAAAAGAGACAGAGAGGAGAGTCTCACGCTTTCTCCATATCTTTGTTGGTTTCAACGAGTAATTTGCACAGATTCATCCTTATCTCGAAGATAACATGAAGATTTACAATGGCAATAAATGACCGACTGTCGCGACATTGAATATCAAACCTTCAGCAACCCCACAAAACCACTCAGTTTCTGGAAATGACTGGTTCACCTTAGACTGGCAGTATTTAATAACAATGATAGTTGAAGTTAACATATAATGTCATTTTCAGCAGCACAATTTGAACTTTAAAGTAGGAGACGCTGTCTGATTGGGGTTTTGGAAAGATTTTGAATGAGATTGGTGTACAGGATCTACACCAATTACACCCTTTCCATCGATCAGTTCCTTTAGCCTCCCTGATCTGATGCCATATCAAGTGTTCTCCTCGTGTCTTTTAACTTTATTATTAAGAAGTAAGAATTTATTTTAGCATTCTTAGAAGCTTTTGTTAAAAGTTTTTTAGAATTTCAGAAGATTTCCTGAATTTTTTTCTGCTTTTTCAATCATCTTCTGTCCAGTACTCGTCCTGTTCAGACAAAATGTTTTTTGCAGGCATAAAAAAAGCTTTTAAATTAAAAAGTTAACCCCGGACACAATCTAATGAAAGACATATTCAATGCATAATCCATTAGTGTATTATTAGAGTTCTGTCACAAAGAGAGGTTTTTTAGATTACGTTAGCTGAATAGAAATAATTATATAAGTCAGTATTTTATACATAGCGAGGTGGTTCCTAAAGAATTTTTAAAACCCTGGCATACAGCAAATAATCAGCAGAAAGAGAATCACTTAGATTCTGTTCCATATGTGGATTATTTTTAAATGGTCCATATATTTTTTTCAATCAGAAATGAAACAACTTTCTAGGCTAGTCATGCAGGAGAGAACAAAGACTGGAGAAAAAACAGGATATGTCCATACTCACCCAGACCTGGAAAATAATTAAAGTAATAAATTAAAAAGAACATATCACCAGTTTTGCTGTTTACTTCACTGATCTGCTGCTTCCAGTAACACAATATAAAATTCCCACCAGATACAAGTTAGATTATTTAGGTTAGATGATATCTATCTATCTATCTATCTATCTATCTATCTATCTATCTATCTATCTATCTATCTATCTATCTATCTATCTATCTATCTATCTATCTATCTATCTATCTATCTATCTATCTATCTATCTATCTATCTATCTATCTATCTATCTATCTATCTATCTATCTATCTATCTATCTATCTATCTATCTATCTATCTATCTATCTATCTATCTATCTATCTATCTATCTATCTATCTATCTATCTATCTATCTATCTATCTATCTATCTATCTATCTATCTATCTATCTATCTATCTATCTATCTATCTATCTATCTATCTATCTATCTATCTATCTATCTATCTATCTATCTATCTATCTATCTATCTATCTATCTATCTATCTATCTATCTATCTATCTATCTATCTATCTATCTATCTATCTATCTATCTATCTATCTATCTATCTATCTATCTATCTATCTATCTATCTATCTATCTATCTATCTATCTATCTATCTATCTATCTATCTATCTATCTATCTATCTATCTATCTATCTATCTATCTATCTATCTATCTATCTATCTATCTATCTATCTATCTATCTATCTATCTATCTATCTATCTATCTATCTATCTATCTATCTATCTATCTATCTATCTATCTATCTATCTATCTATCTATCTATCTATCTATCTATCTATCTATCTATCTATATCTATCTATCTATCTATCTATCTATCTATCTATCTATCTATCTATCTATCTATCTATCTATCTATCTATCTATCTATCTATCTATCTATCTATCTATCTATCTATCTATCTATCTATCTATCTATCTATCTATCTATCTATCTATCTATCTATCTATCTATCTATCTATCTATCTATCTATCTATCTATATCTATCTATCTATCTATCTATCTATCTATCTATCTATCTATCTATCTATCTATCTATCTATCTATCTATCTATCTATCTATCTATCTATCTATCTATCTATCTATCTATCTATCTATCTATCTATCTATCTATCTATCTATCTATCTATCTATCTATCTATCTATCTATCTATCTATCTATCTATCTATCTATCTATCTATCTATCTATCTATCTATCTATCTATCTATCTATCTATCTATCTATCTATCTATCTATCTATCTATCTATCTATCTATCTATCTATCTATCTATCTATCTATCTATCTCTATCTATCTATCTATCTATCTATCTATCTATCTATCTATCTATCTATATCTATATATACATATATATATATATATATATATATATATATATATACATATATATATATATATATATATATATATATATATATATATATATATATATATATATATATATGAATAATACTGACTTTCTTTGGCTTTATTAGACTTTTGTCATTTCATAAATAGAGAAAAGGTCTGGAAAGTAATGCCTTGCTCCCACTCAATGGCAAAATGACAACATTTCCATTTCCAGACGTTTTAACTCCGCAAAGAAAATCTGTAGGATGGATGAGGTTGGTATATTATTCATCTGCAATTCTCTTTTCTTGATATGAACAGCACAGAGTTAGAGTGCTGAACTAAAAATTTTAGTAGCCAAAGTCCAAATAATGCAGTTTGGAAATGTCACAGTAATTCAATTGTATGTCTTTTGAACACCATGGAGGGAATAAGATTACAGCAGAATAACTGGCCAAATCAATTGTTTCAAAGTTTCCATATCTATGAATAAGAGTAATGTTGATAAAATCAGGCTGGTTGAGAGCTTTGATAATCTCAGAGGTTTCCATGACATAATGAACATGTGATTGGAGAAACATTCTTCTCTCTGTGCTATAAATAACTAGATTCTCTCACTTTATCAGGCCCACAGACAAGACAACAGAGGACAGTTTGTAACTCACCCATTGGTATATTAACTTCCCCCATTCCTCTGGCCGTCTCCACATGACTAAACACCGCGACTTATTTTTGTCCAACCATTCCAGGTTGCCTGAAGAAGTCGGAGACAATAGACGTGTTTAACACTGCTGGGACGTCAACAAGGCAAGAACATGAAGACAGAAGAGGATTTACCTTTTTTCCTCAACTCTTCAAACACAACTTGAATTGCTTCCACTGAGAGTTTTCCTGGACTTGCATTAAGGATGAACCAAACCAACATTAAGAAAGGCAGATGCAAATCAAAGGGTACAAACCTCAATAGAGGAAAAAAAAAATCATCTGGTGGGCTTAAATTGCAACATAAAAGGGGAACTGCTCTAAAAATTACACACTCATTTGAATTAACAGTAAGTTTGAAAAAAAAGTCAACAAGCTTGTCATTAGCAATTTATGCTGAAATGTTTTTTCCAGCAGCTACAGCGCTTGTCACGCAAAAAAAAAGAAAAAATTGTTAAATTTACATAAACTAACAAACCAGTTATATGTAATTAACTGTCTTTTAATAAGTTGGAGGAAAACACACAACTAGGTTTTCCAACAGAGCAAGAGTTCCACAAACACATCACAACTGGGACTGGAATGAATAAAGAAGGCTAAACCTCTGGAATGGCCTACTAAAAGCCTCAACCTCAATCCTACTGAAAATTTTGCAAAATACTTTAAAAAAAACCATCATGTTAAGAGATCGGAATAATTTCCTGTCATACGCCTACAATAATGTGTTTTTTTTTCTTCAACTTGCTTCTTGAACACCCAAATATTAGTGGGTGTTTATGCACATGTTTGAGGCAGTTTTCCTATTTTTTCCTCTCTGTGAGTTCAAGAAAATCGTTAATACAAAATCACAGGTTGCACCTGTCATAGCCATTCTACATTGCAAAAAAAACATTACAGGAAAAAATTATATAAATATTTCACCTCCAATGAGTAAATTTAAACTTCTTGTATTTAAGATCGTGTAAGTGTGCTTTCAGGATACTCTCTATCTTCTTGTTGTTGAACACGGGACTTTCCTGCGCTTCCATGACATCCACAGTGTAGAGCTTGTGATGCCGGCAGTAGGACAGAACCAGGGAACACCAGGCTGCCAACTGTTTCTGTCTTGTGTCAACATTGGGCTGAAGTCTGTCCGAAAATACAAAACAAACAAACCGAGATATGTAAGGCATACTCATAACTTAACAGTTTTCAATGTGCTTCAGCTTATTTTAGACAACTTAGAGGTACAAGTATTAGGATGAAGCTTGCAAATGTGGTTACAGTGAAGAAACTTTAAACTAGTAAATATTTTTGAACAGGACATATTTACTACACTTACTTAATCTTATACACACACACACACATCTATATTATTTGTTTTTTTTAAAATAAGTATTTTAAGGATTTACTTTTAAAAAATTCAACCTTTATTGCAAACCCAAACAAAGTAGCTGACAGGTGTTTTACAAAATAACTGCCACTGTGAGAGTATTGATTTTATTGTATAAAAATGTTAATTTTATATATTTTACTGAGGAGGCAGTACAGATTCAGCAAATTCAGCTGTGCAATAGTTTGGCTATGTCTAAAACTTCAAACCCCTTGGCCTAATCAGTTCATCCAAAAAGAACAAGCATGCTGCAGATCTTTAGAATAGAGGAGGTAACCTGATTAATGGATCATTAGGTTCCCTCCCTATGCATCAAATACCTTGTCTATCTGAGCAGATTCATAAACAATTCAAGAAAATTGTATTCCAAACTAGTTTGAACATTTGAAAAAAAGACAACTGATTTTATTATATATATTTTGTTTACTACTTATTGATTTGTGATGTTAAAAAAAATCTCTTTCTCTTCCACTTAATAACTAGCAGCAGGCGTTTTCAAAATGTGTTATTCCGATAGATAAACGGAAGGGGAAAGAAAAGAGTCCAAACACTGCGAATCTGAGATGTGACTGTCAGTGAGTCAACAACAACGGAAACACATCCTCTAAAACAGATTTTCTCCAAACACAAACCTACAATAAAACCCTACTTACATGTGATCGGGGATTTGCTCAGAATTACGTGTAAATCCATCACTAAACCAAGCCACAAGTAGCTATTTTATTAACTTTAGCTAAGGAAGTGTAAATTCACTTCCTTAGCAGTCTTAGCCGAAATTAGCTTGCTAACGTAGCGCTAGGTCGAAAAATAAACGCTTCTTCAAACAGCTACAGAGATAAAAACAATAGTTAATAGGCACGTTTTAACGCTCTTTTTCTGCGGCAGTTGTTAAAAACACGACTCACGTAAAAAACGGAGGGAAATTGTACTGCCAGGGCCACTCAAAACTCATCGCAGTTGATGCGGTGTTCACAGCCGACAGCGTCCGGAAGAGCGTCCGACCACACAAATAGTTCCGTCTGAGCACACAGAGCAGAGCGCACGAACAGACAAAACACATTATTAAAGTGTCTATCGGAATTTATTTGGATTTTTTAAAAGCATTATAATCACTATTTCGTCAAGATGTAAAAAGTTCCGAATTGGTTTCTTCTTCACATTTTTTGTGGCTTTGCTACTCAGAAGAAGTTGGAGGAGGTGGGGATTCTTTTTTCAAGCCATTTTTTCTTAGTTCTTTTTTTTTTTTAGCATATTACATGGACATACATTGAAAACCAAAAGGTACGGCAATAATAAAGCAGATAATCTGACAAATTACCCAGCCAGTAGATGCTGTTTAATTTAAAGAGCAGCTGTAAGTGCATATTCCCCAGTGGAATGAGCACATTCACCTGAAAACTACTAAATGTGGTTGGTGGTTGGTTTATTCTGGATACAGATAACAATAAAAAAAGTTATAAACAACATTAGTTATAATGATTAATACATTGGATTATTTTTGCAGCATCAAAAATAATTGTTGACTTTGTTCATATTTTATTAGCATTTCTGTATAGACTTTGAAACTACATCTAGTCAAAGTTATGGTAATTTCATGCCTGTGAGAAACAGATTCTAGAGTTTTCTTCTGATGCTAATGACTAAAGCTGCAAAAATGTTGTCTGTAAATATGCTAATTTGTTTCACAACTTTTTATGTGTGAAGTTCAAAGTCTAACATCTGTTGTTTCAAACGGAAAAACTCCACAGAGGATGTATGTGGAGACACTAAGGCCCCACGATTCAGACAAGCTGAGGGCAACTGGTGAAGCACAGGGCTTCTTCAACACCTCAGTTACCACATTTATCAACAAATGAATGCTTGAAATGTATGTTGCAAAGAGATTATATGAGTTTCCCTCTGAGGATGACTGTGGAATCTCTGGAGATGACGATACAACGAAGGATGGCTTCATCATAAAACCAAGTAACTTATGGACAATCCTGACCGTCCTCATCATGAGACCGTCTAAGGAAAACCGAGTCTTCAGTCAGAGGATTCTTCAAGTTCAAGAGGGCAACAAGAGATCTTTTCTGCCAACAGCAGTCACTATCTACAATAACTCTTTGAAGAATCTGAATTACATTTATTTTCCCTGCAGGATCAAGAAAGTATTTTTGAATTAGAATTTTGATTTGAGTTACAGACATACACTGACTTTTCTATGTTCAACTTTTCCTTCAGGAAACCATTTGGAAACCATTCATTGTTTAAAGCTAAAACTTTTCTGTCAGTAATTTTTGAACTGGAGTTTGTGTGTAAATTCAACAAGAAATTGAATTTAAGTCCAGTTGGTGCTTGTGGACCAATCATCAAACCTATGATCAACAAATGACATGAATGTGAACTATTTGACACATTTTGATGCAAAAAAAGGAAACCTCTGAATTTTTTCAAAAGTTAATTTATTATAGAAAGAACTTGTGCTTTTTCCACCAACTTGCAGCATAAATATGCCATTTATTACTATTTACAGGACATACAGTTATGCTAATTTCCACTTTTCTATTTCACTATTAGATTTAGTTTATTTCAAACTCTCATTAAATCATTATTTCATCTTCATGGCATTTTAAAATCTCTATAAGAACAGCATAATTGAAAAATACTCTTACTGTCTTTTAAAATCCATATCTATTTCATTTTCTACTTCAAACCAACATGTTGGCACATGGTGGCATTACTTCAGTTGTCTATATTGCAATAAATTCAAGGGCAGAGGTGAGGAAAAAAAGTAAAATATTAGAATACAATCTCAGTTATTGACTTAAGTAATAAACTGTAGCATAAAATCCAAAACAAACATTTAAAAAAAGATGTCAAATGTTTTAAAATAAAGATGAAAGCTAATTTAAGACAGCATTAATGCTTTCTAGGTGTACCCTGCTTTGTTTTGACACTCTGACTTCAACTAAAAACAAAAAAAAGCAAGAGTCAAAATAAGAGAAAGTGGCTTGTGAGATTTAGACAATTTAGAGACTCAAAGAGAGAAAGCAGTTGGATACAGTGCTTCTTTCACTGAAGAAAAGGCAAACCTGTGCGGCTCAGACACATTCCTAAAATACTGGCGCAGACAGTTTGACAGCGCAAGTGTCCTCAGGTAAAAAAAAAAAAAACATTCAGAGCAACGACAGCTGTAAATCCCTCATATTGGCAGGTTAATTGCAATGGCACATTTAACATATTCCAGAAAACAACTTAAATTTTACATGTGGCATTCAAGCTGCTGATGTACATGCAAAAGGAAACGACAAAAAAAAAAAAAAAAAGAAGAGTCAAGCACTTTATTCACTTTTGTCCGGGTGTACAAGCGACTGCTTTAGCTAGAGTGGAAGATACGGGTGTATTCATTCAGGATGAACTCCACGATCTGGTTCTGGAAGACCATGTGCATGGTGATGTTCGCCGTCTCCGTCTCCGGCCGAAGAAGCGTTGGGCCGAACACAATGGCGACATTCTGTACAGTCATGCGATTGTCCTCTCCATAATCAATTACCCTGTCGTTCACAGAGAAGAAACAGTGAGTCTGAGTAAACAGGAATTTACCCAAGGACGGAAATACAATCTTTTATTTTTAGCAGGAAAATTAAGTTGTTTTTCTTTTTACATTTTACATTAATAAGGTTGTCAGGCTCCTTCTGTGTTCTTAGATCTTCATGATGCTGTTTATTCACTAATGTTTTCTAACAAGCTTGTGAAATCTTCAGAGAACAGCTGTATTTAAAGTGACATTACATTCAGGTAGATGGTGATTATTTTCTCAATAGGTGACCTCTGAAGACAAGTGGTCGCAATAGATTTTATTTAGATGCGTCAGAGGAAGGGGGGGTCGAGAGACACAAGGCTCACTTTTTTGAGTCTTATTTGTCATCAAATATCAAAAACGTTTATGATTTGCACTCGACTTCACAACTTTGCATTCCTTTGTTTTGGCTTACTACATAAAAAATGTTTTTTGGTGAAACATTGAAGTCGTATTAAGACCTTTAGAAGGCACTGTCAAATGCTATTATTTTCAAAGCAATGCAATACAATATCAATCAAAGTAGAAAAAAAAATGACTCAAACCTTTGTAAATGCCCAAAAAGCAGCTTCATAGTGTCATGGTTTACAGGAGGAAGTGATTTGACCAGTTCATAAATGCAAGAAAGTTTTGTGTTGTAATCAGGAATTCCTAGAAAAATGAAAGAAAATGAGTGAATATGGAGCAATCAATAAAAACTAAATGATAATAATAAAAAAAAAGAGTTTCACTTCGATATAAAATTACATATTGAAGAAGTGAAAAATTTACTTACTTATAGCTGTGATGAAGTCATTAAAATTGCTGAATGGGAAAAGTGGTTCAGGAAGCTCTCGGAAAAATAATTTCAATGCTCCGGTGATGACATGAACGTCTTCCCACTGACCATCCTCTAGGTCCAGCTCCTCTGTTTGGAGGCAACATGTGCACAAAGCATTAAAACCCAGCAGGGGGCGCTACTGCTTAAAGTTAAAACAAACCATAACCGGACCTCACCATGATCAGCCTTGAAGCGAAGCTTCTGTATGACTGCAAGGTTCCCACTGACTCTGTATAGCCCATCAATGTCTAAACCTGGAAATTACCAGCAGCTCTTGATTAACTACTTCAATACAAAAAGAAAAAAAAATGTAAATATTTGACTTATTTAACTCACCTCTCCTCTCTACTGCTTTAATACACTTCTCCACAAAACTTGGAACTGTGGACCTCTCGTGGGCACACAGAGTGTGCAGGTGACAACCAAACACGTTTTCTGCAAGAAATAAGATCATTATCTTGAAAAAATCGTGAAAAACAAAGATACTAACAAGCTTTTAAATACAAAGATCAGGACAAAACAAAAAAGTGTAAGAATGATTGAGCTTTATGCAGCAAGCTTTCCTATTACTGTATTTTTAAATTTTAACCAAAGTACCAGCTATTTTGATCTGTCGTAGTTATATTATTTCCTGCAAGAAACCTAATGTCATCCATTTAAGCTCTTAATTTTATCTATTTCTTTTTTATATATAAAAACCAAAAGAGAGCAAAATGTCTCTAAAACAATAAAGGGAAGAATATTTCCTTCACCCAGCCATAAAGACATTGGTTAGAAATCCTTTCCATCTGACCTCTGATGTAGCCTTTTTCTTTGACTGACTGCAGCGTTGGGCGCTTCATGAGGAACTTCATCAGCTTGGTCCGAACCTTCTTCGGGTCTGTTTCCCCTGCATTGCTGGGCGACTGAGATATGGTTGGCTTTGGGGCTAAAAATAGATACACAGAGTGTGACTCCATATTTTGTGGTCATAGGTAAAAGCAGAGATCATTAGGCTACTCTTTTAGCTTCAGGTTCTTCATCACAAATGGGATCGAAGACATAAAGTGTCCCTAGAAGGTCCAATATGCACTGAACCGACAATCAAACACGCATGACCCCTCAGCAATGACAGTACTGAGGCTCGTCAACACCCTAAATAAGGGTGCTACTATCTTAATGACAGTATCAATTAAGATAAATTATTTAGAATGTCACTGAGGTTAAAAAAAAAAAGTCATTTCTCAAAACTCCTCCCACAGATGATTTTTAGATTCTACAACAATATAAAACATTGTCTTTCAGGGCATCTTGTACCAAGCTGCTGTTTGTCGGCAAAGGGAAGAAAGCCCAGTTTATCAAAACCATTTCATCAAAATTAAGTTAACCTACGTCTTCGTTTGTCTACGGCAGCGCCGGGTTTCTCGTCTCTGTCTGCATTGCCAATTTTTTCATACAGGTCCCCATCCTCTTCCTCAGAATGATGCTCCTGGTAGTCCTGATGAACAAAGATGAATGCAGTGTTGAAACGGATAAATTTAGTTTCAATCTGAGCAAAGTATATTAAGGACTAGTTTGTTTTTGGTAACAATGAATATTCCCAGCAGTTGGGTAAGTACAATTAGTGCCATTTGCATTCTAGCCACATGATGTCTTTTACAATATTTTGACAAAAAAAAATATATTTATGACTAAGATTAATAATGTAATTCAGATATATTATTGTTTGTAGATCCAAAGCAAATACTGATATCAAAAAGGGCAATTTTTAAAAGAAATTGGCAAATTTCTTTTCCTGGCAAAGTCTAGTGATCTAGTCTAGTGAACTACTTCTTGCTGGCAAAATCTGAATCCAGTGACAGTTTGACCCTTTTATTAAAATTTACTTTTGTAGTTAAAAGTAACGCTTATGCCTGACCAAAGTAAGTTAAATAAAATAATCTAATTAGCTTGGTGCTAAGTTTTTTTAAACTTTCTTAACATGTTTATGCAGTAATTATCACAATGGTGATTGATAACATATTAAAAAAAATAATAATCTAAAAATCTCGTGTTCAAGCCTAAACTTAAGCTGGTAATAGATGAGGCAATAAGAAAGTTTCAACTTTAATTCCTAACAAACAAATTTGTGAAGAATCTTTATGAGTAGATTTCTTCACTGGGTTTGTTGAAAGTGGTAATGCTGCAAAATAAATTCCTGCTCTGCATAATTTTGTAACCTCATTCTTTAAACAGAAGTACATGACAGAAAATGTGTTATTACAAACGAAAACAAAACAACGAATCATTGACAGAACCAAAGAGCATAGAATCTTACAATGTAACTAAATTATATAATTTAGAACATACAAAGCAGTTTTTAAAACCTTGACATGGAGGTTTTAGCCACTTATTTCAATTGTTTTCAAGTCAAATCTCTAAGTATTCACTTTCATAAATGACTTGGGTGTGAATGGCCACGACGAGAAGGTTTTAACTTTACACAAACATAAAAAGTCAAGCCAACAAGCAATAAAGCATTTCTGAAGGTTTGCAAGGAGGGCTCAGTGAATTCTTCAGTCAGAACCTCAATGGCTTAAAGTAAAGATCTTTTAAGACTTCATTTGTCATTTTCTGACCTGTCAGAAGAAATATAAAACAGAATCTAAGGTGTTCAGTAAGATTAGCTGATGACAGAATGAATCATTTTAGCCTTAAGCCAAACCCATAATATGTAGTTCCTCCCATTTCCTGGTTTTATGAAAAGTTCACCATTTTCTCCATGTGGGCTCACGTTTAAATATAAACACAAACGTAAAATCAGTCTCTATGTCCTGGAAAGAACAAGCAATCCTAATTTGCAAATTCAAAACATTTGCATAAGAGATGCATTTCTTTTTTTTTTTTTTTTTTTTTGTCATTGAACTACTTCCTGTTGGTGTTTCTGTTCACTGCAAGGACTTACGAGCTGTTGAATGGTGTCCTTTAAAATTTTGTGCCAGTCATGGATGATGCTTTCCGTATCGTACTGGATAAGAAACTCCACACCATTCTTCCCTTTGAGCTGGGAATAAAATACATCAAGGGGGATTTAATCAAAGTTTCTATTAATGATTCAAATTAGTTTTTTTAATGTGCATCATTATATTTTAACTGACGATGTTCTAAAGTAAAAATCATCCACTCAGCATAACACTTAACATTGCTTTCAGTGTCAACAAACAAACACACCTCTAAAACATTCTTTTTACTGGATTTGTCCTTTGTGGCCCAGCCAATCGTAGCGCCTCTCAATTCCACCGTAAACTCTGGAACAATCTGATTGGTCTTGTTCTGCTTGTTGAAACACAAGAGGAAAAGAAAAAAAATTCAGCTGATTCCCAAACTGACTGCACCACATTCCAAGAGGAAGTTGAACAAAAGACGCGACTGTCACTGCCAGCTCATGACTTGCAGGCTCGTCTATGGCGGCGATTCTGATAGAAGTGACAGAACAGCTGTGCTGCAGCTCGGGGTTTTATTTGGGGTTGAAGAGGCAGTGCAGGTGAACCACAAGAGCGAAGTCTAGTGGTGAGCGTGAATGCAAGAGAAACGGGATGTGGACTAATAATATGAGAAGGAGATAAGAATAAATCAAGAAAGCCTAAAACTAGTTTAAGAAGCAGAATTGCAGAGAACAATACGCAAGAATAAACTAAGTAACGAAATATAAAGGAATATATATTTATATGGCAAGACCTTACGAGCAAGAATTAGTACAAGAGGTTGAATAGAACATAGCAAGTCCTGAGCTGTACTAAAAACACATTAGACAATGACAGGAAAAAAAAATCGCATCAATTTTAAGGAAGGAGAAAACAAAAATAAACTTTGAAAATAAACCTCAAGGATTGAGCTAAAATGGCAGAAACTATGAAGCATAAATTATCCCCATGAAACAGTCAAACAAAAAATCCAAACACAACCATGGAAGCGCAAGCATCCTGTTTCGGCAACGTCGACTTGGGGTTTTCATCAGCTGAAGTGATGACTGAACAAATCCTCTGCACCCCGTGTTTGTTGAGGCTAGGCCTAATACTGAGAAGAAATATATTTTTTCTGGCTGTAATAGTAACACGTTTATTGAAGTTTGAGTCTAAAGGTGACTTGTCACTTCTTTCTGCTTTTTAGAATTTTTTTTTTCCAGTTATTTTCATGTCCATGCTTGAAGTTATTAAAAGTGGTTCCAAGTACAATAAAACTGCTAATTTATAGATTGATAAACAAATATTACACACATTCTTGTCCCATATTTGCATGACATAAGCGGAGAAGTGCCAGAATTTATTTTCTTTTCTATATAAAGCACCAGTTTTAATAAAGTGAGGACCCTACCACAGCACCAGGGGAGGGTTTAGGGTCTTTGTGGAACGTCAGGACTCCGCCATGGAGAACTGTCCATGTTGCAACCCAGTTTTTCCTGGAAAAAAACATAAGACACATATACAGATTCAGTGCATCTCAAAAACCGATAACATTCCTGAAAATAATTTTTATAATTACGTTTTTAAAAGCAAAAATATTATGCAGACGTATTACGACCAGGGAGATATTTCAAGATGTAATTTCTGATCATTTTGATCATTCTGGCTAACAACTAATGAAAACCAAAACTGAAAAAATATGACTTAACTGCAGTAAAAACAAATTTCTACAGAGAAGCTACGTCTTTGCAACCACAGAGTTGACTGCTGACTTAACAAGGAGAAAGTAGGTGATACTTTCCACAAGAACTATAGGCCACAAAATGCCATCGGTAATGGAGCTGGAGTTTGACACAGTTCTGTATCCAAGAATGTTAATAGAAAAAAATGTGCTGGAAAACGTTTGCAGGGTCAACAAAAAAAACTGAAGCCTCACGAGGATTACGAAACAAAGCCTGTTCAAGAGTCTGGGGGGAGATTCAGAAGGCATGGAGTGCAGCTGGAGTCAGAACTTCAAAAGGAACCTCACGTACCTATCAAGGACATGGGCTGCAACTGTTTCACTTTTTATGTTAAGCCTCTCCCTCTCCTGACGTCAGAATGTCTTAACATGGGCTGAAAAGGTAAAACAAAAAAAAAACACCCCCCTAACCCCCCCAAAAAATTAACTGCTGCTAAGTTTCCAACTCCTGATTTCAGATGAAAGCAAGGTTTGCATTTTATTTGGAAGTCAAGGTCCCAGGATTAGTAAGAGTAGTGCAGAGGCATGTAATCAAGCTGTTTGAGAGATAGTGTGAAGTTTTCTCACTTGATTTGATGACTAATCCCATCTGCAGGTGTTGGTCCCCTGTGAGCTTATTCAAGTCCCAAGTCAGTGCAGCTGAAATTTTAGCGCACTTACTGCTTCCCTCTGCTTGCAGACTTTTCACTTGACTCCTTTTTCACACTGCCAAACGTACCACGGGCCGCTTTAAAGACCCTGGTATCACTGAGCTGGACTGGCAACAATCTGGGTCGACTCCACAAAAACATGTGACACCAGAATCAACTCAGGAGATGAGCTGAAGTTCTCATCAATCAACCTGCATTATCTGAAAGAATGCCTAAAACAATCAGTAAGCAATGATTTCCAGTAGGGGGAGATTGATCAACTGAAGCCAGTGTTGCGAAATCATTGCTTGCGGTTTTTATTACCGTAATGCACTTTGTAGTTGACTTAGTCATGCCTCACCATCATGTCTGCAAGTAGTGAAAACGCAGCTCCCTGTCTTTTAACCTCTACACAGAAATCTGGTCAAATGACATCTCCTCTGTTTTTTCTTCCTTGGCTCTCTGTGTGTCAGAAAACTGATTTTGAAATACTTGTGCTGACTTTTAATTGTCCACGTGGCTTAGCTCTCTAACCTGTTGAGCTTCACGTTTCCTCGCAGAGAGTTTGCTCTTGGCTGCTTAGATGACACAGAGAATTTAAAACAATTTGGAACATCTTGCTTTTTACCATCCTTCTAGTTTTTAAATTGTTTTAAAAACCATTTTCACCCACCTTTAACACAGGATAAGCAGCATAGCACCAATGCAGTAATTCACAGCAAAAGAGACCTTTCCAAGTGTCAAATGCATAGGTATTACAGCAGAAAAATATACTTTTCAGGAGGCCTGCAAGTCTAGGTAAAAGTCTAGGTTTTCATGGGATGTAAGCCGTAATAATTAATTTAACAGAAACATGTGCTACTTTACTTTTTGAATAATGGATAAATTTTTAATAATGTTATAGTTTACCAAGATGAACTTATGTAAGAATCAAAATATACATAAGAACAATGTGGCTTACCTTACTTTCTTTCCATTCTCACTGATTTTTGTTTTGTTGAGAATTCCAGCTTTCTCCAAATTCTGTGCCTGGAATTGTACCAGAAAAGCCAATATTTCATTGTGTTGAAGACTGGGGTGTACATTTAGACATTTGTGTGAAAATGAGATGAAGGAGGAGATGTTCTACAGGAAAATAAAATTGAAAATGAAGTGCGTAAAAGGATTCTTGAACGTTCTTGTTCTACAGTGCAGTGGCATCTGCAAAGGAGAAAACAAACCTCTGCACCCCGACCACAGAAATCTGCATCTGAAGTTTGCACGAGACATTTTGTTCTGCAGACTGAGTGTATAAAGATAACCTGCCGTTCAGACCTTTTTTAGTAGATGAACACTATAATAAATGCTACATTGTGAAACAAATGTCACAGTCAGTAGAAGCTAAAAGACTGCCTGACCTGAGATTCACTGAGCAAAATTAAAGAACACAGTCTGAAAGAGAAACTTAAAGCGCAGCTTTGAAAGCCACTTCATATCTCTCTACACTTAAGAAGAAACTAGGCTTTTCGATTTATATTCTTTCAGTCTTTTAACTGAAAAAGTCCAATACTTAGTGAATTAATAGCTAGGTCATGGGTTAGGTTGTTGCTGTGGAAGCTTGAAGCAGAACAGCAGGAAGTGAAAGTCAGGCAGAGGGGAGGGAAGATGTGCAAGACACCTTAAGATTATTAATCCACAGTTAACATAAAAAGTGGTCGCTTAGAAAAGCGAGTTTCACGCTTTGAGGGCATAAACAAAGCCATAATCTGTCATCCATGAAGGATGAAGACACATCTGCTTAGGATCACTTGCAAAGTACTTTGAAATAACTGGATTCATTCTGGAAATCACAAAGATGTGAAAGATCTTAAACTCCAACAGATAATCAACTGATCTTTAGTTATTTTTATAACATACATTTTGTTCAGCTAAACTCGTCTGAAATTTTGCTTTTGCTTTCAGTAAACAACATACTGCATTTCTAGATTGGCATTAAGGCAAGACCCTTCACTTTATTACTATATTTATCTGCATTGGTCATGATGCACATGGGAGATGCTTTTTATATCGCTGCAGAGAAAAGATGGTTTGCTAATGAGAGGCAGGCTGATTTGAATGGATAAAGTTTTTATGGAAATTATTAAAAAAAACAAAAACAAATACTTATCAAATTATTATTAGTCACACCTTGTGCCTGTCATAGATAGACGCTGCTATCTATGGCTAAAGCTCAGGTGAGTGCTTAAACTAATAACCCACATTATAGCGCAGCCACTTTGAGGTCAAATAATAAGGATTTCTCCAGGGCCTAAACAAAACAGCCTTTAAGGAGAGACACAAAACACCTTTCAGATGCAGGGATAGATCGGAGGGCTTAATGGTTCATTTCATTAATGTTATAAAACTCAAATGGAAGAGCCGAAAGTCCACTTACATTATGCTCTGGAGAGTTTCCTGTACTGGAGCTGTCGCTGCTGTGGTCTGATGTGTTCCTCAGATGACTCTGGGTGAATCTCTAAAATCAGACCACAAATGAAAATCTTAGTGTTGATTATGCTAATGTAAGACAAAACAGAACAGAAGAATAAGCAGGAAAAAACTGAAGTGTGTCGTGGATTTCAGTGGGTGCAGCTTCCTCCTACATGTCAGTAATTTTATCAGAGTTAGTCAAACTGAGTTCATTTTGGCAGATTGATTATGATTAACTCAAGGAGTTGTCAATGTGCTGTAATACTTTTTTCAATTGTTTCAGAGTGAGACACAAACAAAACCAAGTAAAATATTTTTACCTGCAATTAACTATGTTTTTCCGCTGCCATTTTAATTTAATAGTAATAATACACGCAAACATTCAGTGAGTTTCACACAATCGCAAATTTGGCAACTCCCATGTACTGAACTTGGCTGAATACAGGAAGTGTTCACATAGAGAAAGTTTCTTATGTCCAGTTCTTATGCTAAGAACTGAACCACAATGATTTCTTTCAAGACCAAAATTAGACTACTTTTAATGACAAAATTTGTGGCTTGTGAGTACCTTGTCATCCCACATGACAAGAATTTATGAATTCAATCATTTCTTGTTTAAGCGATCTCCACTGTACCCATTGGAAAAATGTTCAACCTATGGATCCCCAGGTTTGTATTAAGGAAAAGCAAAAGCCCATATTTGTACACAGGAGTCCCACTGGAGTTTGTGCAAATGTTGCCTCTACCTCAATCAGAAAGCAATGCAGTTGATTTGCCTTGCTAAATAAGGGTTAAACCTTTTCAGTGTTGGCGGATAAACACAGACTTACCCACACTACTTGCCAACTGCATAACTTTATATTTAGCTGTTGGACACACCCTGGTTGTGTCACACAACCAGGGTGTACACATACATGTCTGTGATGGCATTAGTGTGTATGTACCCCATCTTCCTGGCCAGTGGCGAATTGAGCAGGTACCCTCGAGTCTCTCCAGTTTTTGATGACATGCACATTTTCATTCTCATCACCGTTCGGGACATTGGAGTGGGAAGGAGCTGTAGGGGCCTTCAAGGACAAGAAAAAAAAAGAAATTCATACCATAAAAATGACAGAGAGTCCACATTCTTTGCTTAATAAGTCAGAAAAGTCTGTAAAGTAGAGAAGGGTCTTCACTTCAGGTAGATTCCACTCGGACTTGGTGCCATCTCTTAGGTAGTAATAGGTTTGCCCCTGATCATCCACAGACTTGATCCACTGTTAGACAACAGAAACAATTTTATTTGGCATATTTTCTGTAACTTATTAAGTCACAAAGCAAAATAAAAAATCTAAAAAGTTACAGAATAGCATATTTTCTTTTAAAAAAAAATGTTCCCATTTGAATCCCATGTTTTGCATGGTGACAAAACAATGTCAGTTCTCGTAACTCAAAAACTTCACATGCTCTTCAACGTGAACTGTTTACACATATTTCCATTTTTTTATGCAGTTTTTCAGCCAGAGCTGCTTGACGGCTTAAATCTCACAACAAATTATATGTAGGGCTTATAAAACACATCAGCAATATAATGGAAAACAGGTGCCATTTAATAAACCAGGATGCGATTTTAAAGGGCATATTTTAGATGTCATAACTGATTCTCAAAGGATGAAACGTGAACAAACGATATTTCTCAAAGATGACGTGATTTTCAAAACATAGTTTTGTGGTGAAAGAAAAGTATGTTCTTTCACCAGAAAAAGAATGACTTTTTTTTAGGTCACAGCCACTAAACAGGAAAGCCCTGTCATGCATGTATGATAATGTTGAGTCTATACATTTATCATCACAGAATGGATTGTTATGAAGATATGGAGAAAATGAATTTCTCCTCATCCATCAAAAATAGTCTCTTTTTCTCTCAGGATAATACAACAAATTGGGTCTTGAATTTAGGTGAAAGTGCAAAAGGGGGCTGAACACAGGAGAGAACACAGTTTGTGTCAGGGTTATCAGTCATAGCTCAAGCAGAATCAGCAGGCAGACTGTTATTTATGGTGAGAATAAAGTGTGCCAGGTAAGAAATGTCTTTTAATGCCTGATAATTACCTGTCGGGTTGTTTGTTCCTCAGTGTTTGAGCCAATTAACTGAGAAAACTTTTGCCTGTAGTGCCAGTCTGAGTGTTCTAACTGGTGCAGTATTGGCTTAAACTTTAAGGCAAAATTATGAGTTTTTCAGAGAAATCAGAGTGCTAACACCTTTACATTTTTAGTGGCAGAACAGATGGTTTCGTCAGAATAAAATTGAGAAAACCATGTAGTTATGAAAAACACAGATTATATGGAGAGAAAGTGAGACTTTGTTAGCACTGCATGTCTCACTATGTTTGTATTGTCCATTTAATGCTATTTTGTAAGTTAGCCATTTTATTGTGGTTTTTAATTTTAAAAAATGCATCTACTCATGCTGCCACAGATACTAGTCCATTGTTGCAGTTAGAAATGGTAAACAAGTTACATTTATCTCACACTTTTCCAGAGCACCTTCCATGTCAAACATGTGCCAAGTGTAGCTAGAATTGAACCTACAACTTTGTGATTCAAAGACAACTGCTCCACCACTGAGCCACAGTCACAGTAGAGCGATGTACTCTTTTAACAGCATTAGTATCGTTTACCGGTGCTGGATATGTCATTTGAGAAACTAGACCATGACAAGCTGAGTTCTGAGCTGAGCATGCTGAGATTAGCAAGATAGCACTAACACCCACAGGTATTTATTGGGATTTTCAGTTAAAAAAAAAAAAGATCAGGCAAACCAATTCCCCAGATGTATCAACCCTTATCAAACTCTATCCAGAGGTGTATTCTTGCTCTTCAAGCAAATTTACAACACCTAATAAAAACACAATTAGGTTACTTCTGCGTTGTGGTTTTGGTGGTTAGTGATATCACAAGGGACACAATAACTGAGCTGATCAGCTTTCATGTCTGCCTAAATGTGACAACATTTGTTTGCCTTTGACTGAGTTTCTACAGCATGAGTTGGATTTAAATGTAAAAGTGTTTATCTTGATGTGCCACATAACCCGTCAGACTGCCTGGCAACATTTTTACACCAGTTTTGCATAAAAACATTGCTAGGGTTTGATCATCTTTTTGACAGAATGAAGCTCACTATGGTTTTAGAACAACATGGCTCAAAATGATAGCTGAAGTTTTTGAGGTCCTCTGCAAAAATCAAAATTTGTGCTTCCTGAGATCCATGTACTTATCTTACATAAGTCTCTGTTATTTTGCTGCAGTGCAAAACACACAATAAAAAGGCTTTGAAAAGCAAAATAAACCCTGTTGCTAATTTCATGTCGAGCCATGTGACCTGTTTCTATTTAAGTTGTACATTTTTGGCACAATTTTTTAAATCAACGTTTAAACCTTGAGCTAGTATAAAATAAAAGTTTGTATGTTGCCTTTTTTTACAACAAAGAACTATTTTATAGCATATATTTTACTTTATTATTTATATATTGCAGCACACATGCTATTTTAATCCTGTCCTAACCTTTAAACACTGATAGCTACTCATTAGTTATTTTTAAATTTGTGCAGTTTAGTTTTTTTTTTTTTTTTAACAGGTTTAAATTAAGCTTATGCTACAGGAAATGTTTTCAGGAGGAATTTAGCAGGGTTGCCTCTGGCTTTTTATTTAATGTTCCAATTCCATTTTTTTTTCCACGTTTGTTGTCATTATCCACCCATTGTAAAGATGTGCTTAGATGCGAAGGAAATCATCATTTAACATTTTCTGTCCAGCTCTATTCTTTGTTATGCTATTGGCAGAACTACTGAAATCAGACGAGGAACAGACCGGGCTGAAAATAAGTGCTGCAATGTTGCCACATTTAATGTTAACTTCCACTGAACTGCCGACTGACACGTCCACATTTCTTTCATACAAACACATAATTCAAATATTCTTCAGTTAAATTGAGGTGCTGTCCATACCTGATCTGGAGAGTTTTCACTGGTGAAAACCCAAGTCCCGCTGGGTTCCACTGTGAGTTTCCAGCCAGGCGGGGTACTGCGGTCCAGGTTGGCCCGGGGGATGGTGGTCCGACTCACGTGGCCAAGATCGTACTCCTTTGGAAACGTGGGGGGTCCCATGTTCTGGATATCCTTATAAAAGTCTGGTTGGTCTGCACTGGGGTAATCCTCTGATGGGTAGTCCTCCACAGGTAAGGGAGGCTAACAAAAACAGTGTACATTAAAACAAGTTATTGCTTATTTTGAAGTTATTTGTGTTTTTAGCAAAAATTACACTGTAGGGTAAATTTGAACAAACTATCAAAGAAAAGTTGGACATCATCATCACATATGGGATTAATCTTTAGTAAATCTAGTCGAAAATACACACTTGACAGATGCTTCTAAAAATCTTAATACCTGCAAACATAAACCTGCCTGTATTACACTTAGATTGGTCAACATAACATAGTATACTATGAAGAGAAACGAAAAGAAGAAGGGTAATTTTTACATTTTTATATGAATAAATAGAGTACAAATCTAAAACTGTACTGTGTGTTGTGTTGTTTTCAGCTCAAAACAACACAACCAATACAGCACCTTTCACTGCAATTACAGTCGAAAGTCCTTTTGTGTGTATGCGTCTAACAACGATCCACTTCCACATAAGTTTGTCTCCATTGATCTTTGCAACATAGTAGAAGCTCAGTCATTTTTAGCTTCAGTGATGATCAGTTTCCAAATCTCACCACAGATTCTCAGATTTATGTCAAAACTTGACCGGACAATAGACACAGAAAGTGCTTTGATGTAAAACATTTCAACGCAGCTCTGGCTGTATGTTTAAGGTTGTTGTTCTACCTACACCACAGTCTCAAGTCTTTGTTCAGCTTCAAACAGGAATGCTCTCAGAGGAATGCTTTGTACTTTTCTTCATTCATCCTCCCAAGCTTTCTTGTCAGTGATGATGCTACCAACACCATGTTTTACTGGAGGAATGATGCGTAATGGCCACACCCATTACACACCTGTACTACAGGTGAGTCAGTAACCCTCATGGTTTTTCCATTTCATGTTTTGTACATTTTTAGTTTTCATTAATTCAAACAAAATGAGAGTTTAAACAAATTTGTTCTATTTCAGGTTTACCTAGGGATTTCTGAATTAAAAATGGAAATTTTTGACCTTTAAACAGAAATTTCAACAAACGTGTAAGCTTTTTTCCATTTATCACTCCTCAATTGCAGCAAGTGACACAAACTGTTTGTTCATACTTCATGTTGAAATGTTCCAGCTTAAGGCAGTCGCTGAATAATGTCAGTTTCCTCAGCTTCTACTATGATCTTCATGTCAAGACTTTCCCTTCCAGAGAAGCAAGCTACGCTGACTTTCATGTTCTCTTCCTCTTTTTGCAACTCATACGAAGTCATTGAAGGTCAAAAATTGGCTCACTTGCTTAGAAAAACAAACCCCAAAACAAGTGAATTTATATGTTTATTGATCAAAATGTTTCCCTATGTTGACACAATTCCTGTGATATCTCAGGCTATTCAAAGATTAATACTTACTGTCTCTTTTTGAAATCCAAATGAGGGCAAATGTTCTTTCAGGAAAACTATTTGGGACTACCGCTGAGCCTATTCTGTTCAGAGATAATGAATTAAGTCATGTCTGTTATGTAGGTGCAGGACATTTCATTCCATTAAGAGCAGGCTGTATTTAGGTTCCCCCTGGGTGAAGCTAAAACAGGAGACAGAGGAAGCCTAAGTGGAGCAGCCGGGCTGTCTGTCCTTACCGGTTCATCATCACGAAACCTGTGCACACTCATAGGCTCCATCGGAGAGGGGTAAGGGCTCTGCTGCTCAGGAGGGTCCCAGGACGTCTCCCCGGACATGTGGTTATAGAAGTAAGGCTGACCAGTGGTCTCATCCACCAGCTGCTCCCACTCTGAGGCCCAATCGGATTGAGGGGATGGTGGAGGGAAAGGTACCTCTGGAGTGAGTCGCTCAGGGTCTATGGGAGAGTCTAGAAAGGGGTTGTCCCAGGTGGTGCGCCCCGTGTCAGAGTGGTAGTAGTATTCCTGTCCACTTTCTTGGTCAACATGAACCTCCCATCCCTCCTGTTTTAGGTAGGAAAGAGAGCAGGGCGAATTGTCCAACGGGGGAGATTCTGAGATGCTTTGGCGAAGCTCTGCTACGTTGACGTACACTGCTGACCGGAGATTTTCATCCTGCACCTGAAGATAAGAAAGAACAATACAATACGAAAAGAGAATTGCTGACATTTGAACACATCTAGAAGGGTTTCTATTGTTGAATAAGGAAACTCTGGCCTGTATCCACCTCTACCTGTTGAGTGCCAACAAGGTACATTTCTAAGGGAAAGATATGAGACTTACAGCATGGTGGCAAAGGGGCACTTATAGGGTACCTACAGAGAGTTTAACATTTTAGTTAGTAGTATAACTTAGAGTATTTAACAAAAGGTAAAAGGAAATTGTAGTACTGAGTATATTTTGCTGTAGTTTTACATAAAGCCGTAAATAAAAACCAACGTAGGTAACCTGTAAATACCCTGTAGGTATCTTGTCATACCAAGTGGGCATCTGAATAAGAAACCTGTACTTGTGATTTCCCAAAGTTCCTCTTAAATATTATTTAGATATCCTGCAGGCACAGTTTTAGAATAATTTACATAATAAGATTGGTTAAACTCCCGTTACCTGCATGTTCCCTATAGGTATACTGTAATTACCCTGTAGATATCCCTGTGGGTATCTTGCATATACCCTTTTGAAAACACACAAGTTATACCAGATAAATTTAAATGAAGTTTAAACAGAAAAAATTGTTGTAGGAAGTACCACACCCAAGCTTTTAAGCTAAGTTGTTGTTCACCCTAAATCTGTCTTCTGCGACTTACTGAAACACAGGAAGTCTAACACTGAAAAAACCCCACAGACCTCTGGGGCGTTACCGCCGTACCAATAATCAATAATGGAGCCTAGTTGCATTTATTTTGCAATGTTGGACCCAGACTTCATTTCTGATGTGTACCACTGTAAGCTATAAATTAAAATGTGAACTGTGTAATCTGGGTTGTTTAATTATGCACTGGATTGAAAATAAAAGTTTTAACAGCCACACAAATACCAGCATGTGAACACAGGGCATTTTCAGTGGACTCTAACTGGGTTAAACTCCACTATAACATTCACGCATTAACTTCTGTGTCCCACATTCATCCGGCTACCTTTCACGTTCAAAAGCTCATCTGTGTTTTTCTTACGCACAAACTACGCGTTCAGTTTCCAGATGATAAAGGGAAGCTGTATGTAAACAGAGCTCCACATGGCAGCAACACAGCATGTAAAGTAGACTGAGCCTTCACGACTAATTTGCTTAAAGAATACCAATGAGAGTGACAGAGAGTGATGAAAGGCTGTCTCTGTCCTCTTGGCACCTGAAACTGATCATCCTGATACATACGAGCCATAGCTTCCATCAAAAATACTCTCTTGGCAACATCAAAAGCAATGCCTTTTCTCTGTAAGCTGATTTTTTGCTCACCTTTGCTCCAGTGAGACGCTTAATTCTTCGAGTAAAACTCCTGGGAATTATGGTCTTGCGCACCATTTCATTCGACATCATGAAGACAGCACAAATGAAAGCTGTGACATGTCTATTCTAGTCTAAACTTTAACTAGACCTTGTGTCACCGCTAAACTCTTGGGCTATATTTACCAAAACCTGCGTGCGTGTTTCTGCACAGTATGTGCTGACCATTAGAATAAACATGCCACGCTAAAAAGAGAGAAGTGTAGCAAAAGTTAGCAAAGAGAAAAATAACTTCTCTACAACATATCAGTGTTGTATGGCCCAATCGGATTGAGGGGATGGTGGAGGGATCCCCTCAATCCCTCCACCACACACATGTGTGTGGAGAACACATGTGTGTTGTAGAGTATCAGAACTCAAAAAAGAGAAAAGATGTCTAAGAATCTGAAATATTAGTCACCTTCTATTTTTAAGTACTGTTTTTAGGTCCGCTTTAGTTTAATATACTTTTATTTTTGAAAGAAAGATTGATCGAAGGGCAAGCAAAGCAAGGTCCACAAGAAATACAGGACTTGGGATTGTGTTCTCTTCCAAATATGGGACTTGATAGTCAACAAAATAATGTTACAGGCTCTTCAAGTTTTTTGCACGTTTCCAACATTTGCATTCTCTTCTAGTTAGAATGAGCATTGACATTGTTTTTTTTCTGGAAGGAAATTTAAACATTTGTGGAGGACACAGTCACAGATTTGCAGGAAGGTCTTTGGAACCAAATCAACAAATCAGATCTCCTGGGATTTTACAAACAAGTTTGGATTAAAGGTTGTGTTAAGATATTTTGGGATCATTCATGAATGGCTGCATGCATCTCTTGCTTTAGAAAACTAGTACAGGCCAACATTTAGGGGCGTTGAAGAGACGAGCACAAGAAATGTTGATTTTTTTCTTTTTTTCTTAAAGGTGACACTTCATTAACTTCTGCTACTTGTCTCTGTGCTGATGTCAAACACATTCCATTTAGCTGCAAACTAAATAGCTTACAATTGGTAGCCAGCCTCATTCTGATGAGTCGCCATGAAATCTTTGTACTATCTCAAAAAGAGTCAATCAGAGAAACAAGGTCATCTCCATCGTTTATTTGCTGCTCTTTATATAATAAAACAAATAAAATTCTGTGTAGGACACCAACAATAAACCATCTGTTACAATCCGATTCAGGATTGTAGCAGACGGCTTGTTGTGGAGGGAAAGCTGCATACCCAATGATTAGGGAAGCAGGCAGATGATGGAGCTGACTGAATGAGGATGCATGGAATCTGGTGTGCTTGAGCATAGCATAGCAGATCACAGTTTCAAGCTGACCTGTGGGAAACAATTGCACATCAGCTTTGTCCTTCTAGTTTTTGATTGATGTCAAGATCAATCTTCCTTCAAATAAGCAGGACGTAGAAATAAAAACAAAGAAAAAGGAGCCTTTCTGCTTTAATGCAACACTTATTTTGATCCATCTGTTTTGGTCCTATCACATTACAGACTTTGCCTCAGTTATTGACCAAAATGCAATCTCAAACCAATCGATGTGGATACCCAGGCAACTGACCTCAAAACAGATTGATTTCAAACAATGCGAAGCGGAAAGGATTGTCTCATTGATCCCTAAAAGAATTGCGCTGGAAATCTTTCAAAACACACCATGGAAATGTAACAGTTGATCCCAAAGAACAATTATTTCCAAATAATACATTTGGTTATTATTTTTGCATTATGTCAGCTTTAGACCAAAAAAAGTAGTGCATAACTATAACCCATATAATCATTCGCAGCCACAAAAGTTTATTTTCTTCCAGTATTGCCCCGTATTCAACTCCAGCCTACATTCTACATGTAGGTCGGAAAGTTCAGTTTTTGTTTCCTCTAACTAGAGCACATTCTTCACATATTAGCTTTATTCTCTTGTGACAAACTGCAAGTTGGACTTCTGTGGTTCCATTTTACACAGGTGGACTCCTTTTGCGAGTTAGTTTACTTCTGGGGACAAATGTTTGCACTGGATTTTATTTAGGGGTGAATGAGAAAAGGAAACTGAATAGAAATGTATGTTGCACTTTTGAAATTTTTATTTAAAATACATGCCATGTCCTTATCTTTGTGTTGATTAATCACCTGAAATCATAATGAAATACAATCATCTTTGTGGTTGAAATATGTCAAAAACAGGAGAAGCTTTGAGATGAGTTAATACTTGGAAAATCCGCTGTATCCTCCCGATATAGAAGTGAATCCTGCATCGGATTTCATGTCAGACAATAATGTAACCTGTCATTTAAAATGCCTCAAGTCACATCAAATAGATTGGACTCTCTGATGTTGTCTCTCGTTGTTTTCATACTTCTGCAAGGGCTTTGGTTATTGTATATGACAGCAGTTACTGTGTGAGCTGATAAGATCAGAATTTATTGCATTGGGTTTCTAGTGACCCCATTTTTGCAGGATGCCTGAAGAAAATTTGTCTCCTCCAACTACCATTCTGTGTTTTGCTAAAGATCCAGCAAGATCCATTATAACTTTTTGAGCTGATGCTTGTCTTTTTTTTCCCCCTCAAGAACAGTCCGATATTATAACCCACATGAAGTGAACTCTGACACAAACAAACATCTTCGCCTTCAGATCTCACCCAAAGCCGTGCGCTACAAACTGTTGCAATGACATTTGAGCACTTTTCCTCCTCACATCCAGAGGAGCAAAAGAGTTACAGATGAAAGACAGCAGCTATAAAAGATCAGAGTGTTGCGAGTTTATATTTACACCACTTCAACATGCACAGGAAAAGACAAGTGCACAGGAGGCACGGTTCATTGAAACAGGAAGTAGCGCACTTGTCGAAGTGTTCGAACAAGTAACCGGTAGCAAAATTAAAAATTTAAATTTTACAATGTGGTGGATGCAATCTCTTACCTGGGCAGCCACCGGCAGAGTCAAGCCCCGTTGGGCTTGATGACCTGTCCAAACCCTGGAGTACATCTCCACCATGTTTATTGGTCTCTAGCAACACGATCCATGGATCCAAACATGGATAGACTCAAAACCAGCGAGCTAACTATTCAATAACCTTCAGTCGACATGCGCTACGCTAGACTCCTAAATACCCTCCTCATGCATGCAGCCTTCTCTCACCGCAGCTGTGATAGTTGCAGCCCAGATAGAAAAGAGAACTGAGGTCTGTTACAATACGCAGTAGGAAGGGACTGCGTGAGGGCTCGCTGGTGTGGGTGTGTGTCACTGTTTGTGTGTGCTTAAATTCCTGTGCACAGGGTAGGAGGGTAGAGGGTAACTGTCTGACAGCGCTGAAAAAAACCAAAAAACAGAGTCGGTAAAAAGTAGACAGGAAGAAAAAAAAAGTTTTAGTAGGCAGAACAACATGAGCTCTGCGGGTCACTTCAAACTACTTCCTGTCTCTGTATATACATGACAAATAAAACGGAAATGACAGCTATGGAAAAAAGATTTTGAAGAAGAAAAGAACAGAAGAAAGAAAAGAAAACAGAAGAAAAGTACAGCTTTTGGTGAGCCTTTAACTTTCCTTGGGTGGGTGACTCAGACAATAATGGAGAGAAAAGGGAAGCAATAATTTCTCACAATAAAGAGGGGAGCTGCCACGGCCGGGCCAATCTGAAAATAC